GGACTAAAGAGAGATGAATATGATTTAGATTTTTATTTCTGTGACTGTAAACGACCCACTGGAGACACGACATTAACAGCAGTCGTCTTTTCATTTCTTTAATTCCACAGCTGATGCTGCTAAAAATGACTTTTTTTTCTGGATCTCTGAGAGCAGAACTTCAATCTCAGAACTCGTAAACTTCTTCTTTTTTTCTTTGCGATGTCATTCATGAATGGACACTTCCTGGTATGTCGAGCAGGAAACGTTACCTTATATGGTGTTTTTGGGGTGGTAATTGTGCTAATCTCCTCTCCTCCTGCGCGAGCAGCTGGATATACGTTCATCASTTTATGCTGCTCATTTACACACTTTTCCTGAAGATAGAAGAGTTTGCTGAATCTGACGTGACATGTTCGTACGAACAAAAGTAAGAGAAATTTAGGATAAGAATACGAACACGTTCTTGCATGAGGCCCAATGCTTCTTGGCAATAAATCTTATATCATTGTAAAGCCTGTTAATTCCCCTTTTTAACGTTGCCACATTTGTAAGGAACATGCATTTATGGGACGAAAGTCACAAACACTAATTTCCTTACTTTTGTAATAAGTATATTTTTGATATACCTACACAAAACGTTTTAACAACAATTAGTAGCAACTATTAGAAATGCAATACCATAAGCACATATATGGTAATGAGTACTCTGTAAAGGTTATAAAGACTGTATCAGGTTGTAGCTCTAAGCACTAATTTTTGCCTGTAGTCCCTGACCCCCCAGCTGTTAAAAWTTTTTAAAAGAACAAATAAAAACAGATGATGCTATTCAATCTATATAAAACATTATGGGTGGATGAAACAGATTTTTACAGAGAGCAAATCTTTCCCACCAGAGTGATTTAAATTGGTCATGTGACTAGGACATGCAGGCATCCAGGGACTCCAGGGGATTAATCATCATATTAACTTTCATCGGCTAAATACCACAATTTATCAATTAATTCTTTGGCCAATGTCGCCCAACCCTACTGTAGATGGACAAGAAAATCAGGAGCTTTGCCTTTCAACTCAGCTCGTTTTTTCTCCACTGAATCTGTCTGTGTCTTCCTCATGAACCTGTGGCCTCCACTACCCAACAAGAACCAATCAAACAAAGAGATGGATGCTGTTATGATGCCAGAAGGCCAGCTGGGCCGAGTTCACAACATCATATTTTAAATAATAGTTTATGCATCTTGTCTATAAAAAAAATCATGAAATAAAAAAATCTAATACTTCAATAGCACGAACAGTTTCAGTTTTCCACCTGGCAGCCAACAAACTAATGGAGCAGGCCTGGTTGGGTCTGGCGCCTCATTGCATTATTTATGTACTGCAGCTGTTTTTTTTACACTGTCACTATTTTCTTTCAGTCTTTATCTTTTTTCAGCAAATGACCCAAATTTAACAGGGACAGGATTTATCAGTGAGTTAGATGTAAAGAAAAATTTTGTTGACAGCACTAATATTTGGATTTCTTGTGCAAAAATAAAGTTTGAATGTAGAAAAAAAATGTTTGCAAAATACATAAATGGGGTCTTTTTGTAATAAACCATATTATTACAACTCTTGGAATAAGAAGCAATAAAGCAGAGATTTGCAGAACCTTGGTTCTGGTCTGTAAATCTTCGTACGACTCACACTCTTATGTAGCGCCTCACGTCACTGGGAAGCCCCGCCTTACTGAAGCTAAAGTCCTCTGACATCATAGTGATTGACAGGTGCGGTCTCCAGTGTGATACAGGACTCTGTTTCTGTCGAGGCCACAGAAAGATAAAAAAAAAAACAATAATAAAGCACATTCTGCTGCACAGAAATGTCGACATGAGGATAAAATCTTTTACAAACACTGGTGTCACCTTCTCCAGGAGTTGAACTCCTGGAACATATATTTGAGGGTGCAGACTTTGTTCCATTTAATAGATTAATAATACAGTATGGCATTGACA